AAAAAAAAAGTATGTACCTAGAGCAGTGGGTTAAGTGGTCTCTCTCGTGGTCCAGTGGGCCACAGAAATGTATTGGTCAGGTAAGGGCAGCCAATTAAACTGAATGTGGAAACATAAATTAGTTATTGATCCTTCTTTCTTCTRTCCCTCTCTGCAACATATCAGTAATGAATGTGGTTTTACCCTTGAAAAGCCATAACATTCTGGAGCTCTGAAAATTCCATGTGGAGTTAATTGGGGAGCACTGAGGCATTAAAAACTTTCAATATCCTAGGTCCTCATTGTATTTTTTCAGAGCTTAAAATGTCAAGACCAATGATTGGTAGAGATTTGTTCACAAAACCTCAATTCAGATGACAGAATTATAGAGCAGGTGTGAACTTTTGTGGCCCCTTTGTCTTATCCARCTTGCAGGGTAGTCTTCACCCCTGAGACCTCAAAATCCATGGCCTCCTCATGAATCCTATTCATGCTTCTAGAGAGAAGTGGATTTCCTTTGCAATAAATAGTGGGGCAGAAAGGGAGGATTTGTGTTTTCATTTACCAACAGTTGTGATTCTTTATTACCTGATGCTATGAGTCTTTGTGATATCTTAATATGTGGTCATTGACCCTTGGCTGGATTACATCTAATAAAAAGGAACTCATTACCTTATATTGAAGCCTCAAGGACAGTTCTGGATTTTACAGAGTTATTTTTTTATAATCAGCTGAAATCATATTCCTTGTACTTTGGCTAATTTGTCTCAGTTTTTTCCCTCTAGAGCAAAATGCAAAAATACTTCTGCTCCTTCTATGACACAACCCAAATGTCGTGTGAAACTGAGAAGAAGTCTTCTACCACTTTATTTATTTGGTCAGACTTTGAAAAAGCATGCAATTACATTTAATTTAACTTAATAACTTGTGAGACTCTCCTATTTGTTTTGAACTGTTCTTAAGCAATACTGACTTTTCCTCTCTGAATATTTTCTAATAATCAAGGTGAATTGAGAATTTTCTAGTTTAATAAATCTGTAAATGTAGTTTAAGATCTTCATGAAAGAGAAAGTGTTGGTTATAAATGAAGTGAGTGTTTTTGGTCAAATAGCTAGTTACTTTTATATATATATATATATATATATATCACTCATAAATAAAATCAAATATACAAAATTAGTTTGCGTAGGGCAGTACAAGTAACAAAGACTCAATTTTCTTCCAGTAGGGAGGAGAATAATATTTTGGTCAAGGAAGCTATAGTGTAGGAATAAGGAAATAAAAATTTTTGACCCTTAGCTATTAATATCTAGGAAAAGCCTAATAACAAGCTACCAAGAAAAGCAGAAAAGACAGCAGAGCCAGATTTCTTGGAATTGGAACACAATTTAAAAAGTCCTATATGCTTCASGAATGGATCTTTAAAATTAACCATTTATTGATACAAAACCAGAAGCTGTACCCACAATTAGAAGTACATTCTGACCCAGTATCCTTCTAATGTATGTATAAGAAGCTCAAGTTCCGTGAAGCAGCCCTTAATCCTCACCAGGGTGATGGACACTGCTGCCTTCTCTCCTGCTTGCTCTGTCTCTGGCCCCTTCTGCCCCTTTCTTTTTGACCCCACTCTCTTTGCATCTTCCTCTTCTCATTTTCACCTCTCAGTATCTGCCTTTGTTTTTTATCTCCATGATTTATAATTTTTAAGGATTATGTATATTTTCTTCATTTCTCTTTTTCCACTTAACAGTTTCCTAATTCTTTGCTATACTTACGTATTTTTCCTGCTTCATAATAACTTCAGTATAACTGTTTTATATGTGGTGTTCATAGCCTAACTTCTCACTAAAACCTTTCAGCTTCCATTGCTAACTGTCCACTTTCCTTGGTATTTGCTTATTGAAGGAGAGAGATTTTGATTCGTGGAGCTTGTGTAGCTTATCTTGTTGGAATTAGGCACTGCAAAATTCCGGTCCAGAAATGGATTGGAGTCTTTTGGGTCAGAAACCCATTGCTGCTCTTAATGGGGGCCTATGTGGGGGCATGGACGGGGAGAGGGAGGGAAAGGGAAAGAGAGAGAGAGAGAGAGAGAGAATGATAAGGCTATATATAATTTATATATTTATTGATATATTTATATATAGGTTGGACGTGCTGAGTGGGTTTTCAAATGATGAACTTTAGTGTACTTTGTTTCTGGAAGGCAAGGTTCTTGCACTCAAGCTATATAATCTAATCAGTGAATTTTTACTAATATATAGAAAAATATACATACTGATTACCAAACAGGTTTTATAGGGATTCTGAGAAGCATCTGTGAGGGAGGTAATAATGCAAAAAGGTTTTTCTCTTTGTTTCCATTAACCCTTTTAGCACTCTATTTACAACAAAAGAAAATACAGAATATTGCAATACTGTAGATACTATTCTTTGCATATGTMATATTGATTTACAATTATTAGAAAGTATATGGATGTCTGGAATGGATAATAGAGGAGAAATAAATTTAGAGGAGCAATAAATTTGAAGGTATTACTTGCTATAAAGAAATATTTTAGGAATATATTAAAATTGGGACTGTAGTTTTAATAGAGACTATGTTTATCCTTATATGGGGAGGTAACTGAGATTTTGACAACCAACATAAGATCAAGTTAAATTTCATAGCAACATTGTGCTTTTGTGATTCAGCATGTTTGGCCATGCCTCCTTTTATCCAAGAAGTGCATGTCTCTACACAGAAACTATGTTCAAATAAAGCTGTAGAAAAATAATATTAAATAACATTTAAGGAAATACTTTTGTAGGGTGATAAAAACTTARCAATGAAAATAAAACATCTGTTCAATTGTAAATTCAAATTTTATTGTGTGAGATAAAGTAAGAAGTAATTTAAAGCAGTGATTTTCTTGATGTGCAAATTATCAGTGAGTACTGTTTGAATTTTACAGGAATCGATGGGAAAGAGCCATGATGGGAGAGCTTATGTTATTACTGGCATGTGGAACCCTAATGCACCAGTGTTTTTGGCACTTAATGAAGAAACCCCAAAAGGTGACTGTTCTTTGTAGATCTCTTATTATTTGTTTTAAACTTCAAAATATGAACAATCTTGTATTGTTTTGTTTTAAGAAAAATTCTGTTGCTTATTTAAAATGCAGATATTCTTATTTAGAATTTCAGGTTTCCTTCATACTTTATACTATTATTGGAAAATACTTATCATTCAACAAATTCCCCCAAATACATGTGAATTAATTTTGTTAGATTATGTGGAAGGCATTTGGGCTTTGTGCTTCATTTATGATTATAGAATTGATAAATGCCAACATTCTGGAATTTTGCATATCTTCGATTACAATTATTATTTTGTACCAGGGATTGAACCTAGGGTTGCTTTACCACTGAGCCATATCCTCAGCCTGTTTTTATTTTTTATTTAGAGACAGGGTCTTGCTGTGTTGGTTAGGGCCTCACTAAGTTGCTGAGGCTGACTTTGAACTCACAATCCTCCTGTTTCACCCGGCTTCAATTCTTATTTAACCTTTTTTATATTACAGATTACTTACTTTTCCCCCCCTCATTTTGTCAATTATGAGTTGTAGTATTTTGATCTTTGGGATCCTAGCAATATGTATATATTAAGGACTTCATTGATAGTAAACATTTTTCTCTGGTTATATGTTGTTTTTTTTTTAAATTTTATTTAACAGGTCTAGTGTTGGAAAGAAATTTATAAATAATGAATAATCATGTTTCTCATTATTCCCATTTCGTTTTGTATTCCTATTTTGTCCAGCATCTGCTAACTGCCTGTGTTTTTTGCCCCTTCATACCTGTCTGCCTTTAAAGTAAATTTAAATGTTTTACTTGATGTGTTATAGTCTTACCCTAAATACTTTCTTGTCATTCAAGCAAATATTATATTTAGAATACAGTGGATCAATTTGTTTTGTATTGAATTTTATATCATTTAGTTTTTATCCACAGTAGATTTTTGGTTAAAGAGAAGAAGCATTAATGAATATTAATATGGAAATATATTCTAATGAAGAACATTAAAATGATTATTCTCTGTTTTCCTTAAAAAGAGTACTTACCAGTTCTTTTAAATTGCATKTATTTGATAGTATAACAAACTGTCTGAAAGTGAGGGTTAAAAAGAGAAAGCCACTCTGAAAGCTTTTTATATTTTTAGCAATAAATTATTCTTACACTTATAGTTTATTTTTTGAGACAGGCTTGTAAATACCAGTATATAATTTCKTATAGTCATTCAGAAAACACAAAAAATGAGAAAAATAAGTCAGATGGATAATTTTGAAGAATAAAATATAGGAATTTCAAATATTAAGTTATAAAAGTAGCTCCTRCTTGCTTTTAATGTAACACATAGTTCTGTTTCATTTTGTATTTTAATATACATTTTATCCTCAAATAAAAGATAATTCATTTATAATTTATCTGTTCTATTAAAACAACAGTGCTATATCACAGTAATATTCAGATTCAAAATATAATATATTTTAAATTTAAAATTATTTCATATCCTACACAGACATGTTGCCTTGATTTCTAAATGCCTTGATTTCTAAAATGCTTTGATTTCTAAATTTCCATATGGTGTCCTTGAAATTATACATTACTCACAGAATCCATGAGTCATGTAAGGTTTCAGTTTTACAAAAGATTGTTATGCCCTAAGAGATGAAATCTCTTGGATCTTCCACTGTTCTCAATCCAGTTGAGTATTATTCTGTATCCTCTGTTACTCTCTACATTACTCTCTTTAAWGCCTTCTAGCTTAGGAAAAATGTCTAGAACATATTAGTTTCTTTTGAATTGGCAAGTATAATACTGTGTTTAGTATAATAAAATGTCCAATTTATGATATCAGTGAAAGTGTAGTTAATGAGTGTAGATTTTATAAAATGTCTTAAAAAAAAGTATTGAAGATTTCTTCTAATGGTGGGCTTGTTTGTTTTCATTTTTCCTTGAGAACTAAAAAACAGTGGATAAAATTAATTAAAAAATTTTAAAGAGGGGCTGGGGTTGTGGCTCAGTGGTAGAGCACTTGCCTTGCACACATGAGGCACTGGGTTCCATCCTCAGCACCACATAAAATAAATAAATTAGTAAAACAAAGGTATTGTGTTCATGTTCAACTAAAAAGAATTAAAAAAAATTTTAAAGAGCATCAAGGAAATTACAAAGTGGAATGGAATGACCAAGCTATAACTAAAAAACTAACAATTTCTCTTATTTTGCTTTTTCAGATGAAATAAGAATATAATGATATAGGAAATCTGATAGTTTTCAAGTAAAGAATATCCTGAAAATTTTATTTATTTAATTTTTATGGTGCTAGTGATTGAATCCATAGCCTTTCCCACACTAGTGCTCTACCATGAAGCCATACCCTTGGCCCAGTTTTTATTTATTTTTACATTAAGGTTGAGATTTGAGGAATGGAAAAAGAGAGCTGTCAGGAACTTCAGACACTTGATTAAGATAGGATCATAAGTTCTGAGAAACAGACCTGAAATACTTAGTTACCTATTTTATCAAAGTGGTAAGAAAAAAAATAAGAAAAATGGTAAGAAAGCATTCAAAAATAAATATATAGAAAGTAATATTATTATAAAGAACCTTAATTTTGTGGCTTGGCTCGTGCCTCAATGGTAGAGCGCTTGTCTAGCATGTATGAGGTACTTTTATTGCTTTTTATTGATTCTCAGCACCACATATAAATAAGTCCATAAATTAAAGGTCTATCAACAACTGAAAATATATTTAAAAAATAAATAAAATAAAGGTAAAAGAATTTAAAATAAAAGAAACCTTAATTTTTTTCATAAGTGAGGGAATTTTGTTGTTTTAATCAAAGAATAATAAAGCCAACATAAACTCCAGAATATTTCTACCACAGATAAGCGTGTGTACATGACGGTGGCAGTGGATATGGTGGTCACAGAGGTGGTGGAGCCTGTCCGTTTCCTCCTGGAGGCAGTGGCACGTGTGTACCCTGCAAATGAGCGTTTTTGGTATTTCAGCAGAAAGACTTTCACGGAGACTTTCTTCATGAGGCTGAAACAGGTGGGACCTTTTTGTTCTCTTCATGTAATAACATTTTTCTTCCTACCTTTTATTTTTAATGCCAAGATTAAATGTCTTAAGTAGCAATAAAAAGTAATACAATTTCTAAAAAAAAAATGAAATGATATTTGAAGTCAGCCAACAGTACTTTTGAAAAATCTACATATAGGCAATATACAAATTTAAAAAACTTGGGTTAGTGTAATCATTATGTACTTTTTTTTTTTTTGTAGCAATCTGAAACATGTAATGTGGTAAAGAATAAACAATAGAAATACTGACTCTCTATATAAAACAGGTTTTCTGTCTTTTAAATAAAATTACTTGAAATAAAGAAAATAGAATTCAGAAATGCTATATGCTTATAAAGTTACAATGAAAAATTTTCCTAGACATACCTAATTGCTATAGTTATTTCTGGTTATAATTTTTAGATAATCTGCATTATATTAATATGTTATTTGGCTTATCAGTAAGATTATAAAGTTATTTTCATATTAAATGTACAAAATTATGGGGCTGGGGATGTGGCTCAAGCGGTAGCGCACTCGCCTGGCATGTGTGCGGCCCGGGTTCAATCCTCAGCACCTCATACCAACAAAGATGTTGTGTCCTCCAAGAACTAAAAAAAAATAAATATTAAAAATTCTCTCTCTCTCTCTCTCTCTCCTCTCTCACTCTCTCTTTAAAAAAAAATGTACAAAATTAGGTTTCCTATGACATCCTTAAATTAGTCACTATTACTAGGTAAAACTTTTTTTGTAGTAAATGAAGAAGGTAACAGTAAAAAATAATTTGAATTCTAATAAGATTAGCTTGTAAAATCAGAGTAAAATGTTCTGTTTGAATAATGAAAATCCTTAGTATGGTGTTTTTGTTAGTATGCTCACTTTTCTAGGTTTTAAAATACTTACTGCTTCGTAACTGTAACATGCAAAAATGCAGTGTGGCAAAGAAAGCACCAACACAATGAATAAATATAGAAGCCACTTACCCATTTTCATATTAAAACATAACTTGTCATAGCTCAGTTAGGCTTCATTAAGAACATACTTTGCAGTTATTGTGCTTTTCATCTTTCATACAATTATGATAGCTGTGTTTTGAGTCAGCTTTTATTACTCTGTGGACTGTTTTTGCAGCATATTATAATGAATGTTATGTGAACAATATTCAAAACTTCAGTTGCCTGAGCATCTTTTAGGGTTTTGTCATGAGGTTTCTTTCCTTTTCTCTCTCCCATTCATTCTTGAAATTTTAGTTTTGGAAATCGGGATTGGGTGCTAATTCCCCTGGTGTTGAAGATTAAATGCCCAAGAAATGCAAGGCAAACACAGAGACCAACAGAGATAGGGAAGAAGAGATGATGCCAATGGGGGATGTGTCTTATCTTTTTATAGACCCCCCACCCTCTCTTTTTTATTGTAAAGGTGCCCAAAGGCAGGAAAGAGTAGCCCCAGGAAGGTAATGCCTTGTGTCAGGAAGTGTGATTCTTACCCCTCACTGGAGATGTTAATAGCCAGTTGAGCAGGGAAGTGTTATCCAGAGGTGTTAGTATCCCAATTC